TTTTTTTTTTTTTTTTTTGACAGGCAGAATCAGGCAGTGTCAGAGAGAGACAGAGAGAAAGGTCTTCAAGGTCTTCCTTTTTCCGTTGGTTCATCCCCTAAAAGGCCGCTACGGCCAGCGCATTGCGGCCGGTGCACTGCACCAATCCGAAGCCAGGAGCCAGGTGCTTCATCCTGGTCACCCAAGCGGGTGCAAGGCCCAAGGACCTGAGCCATCCTCCACTGCACTCCTGGCCACAGCAGAGAGCTGGACTGGAAGAGGAGCAACCAGGATAGAATCCGACACCCCAACTGGGACTAGAACCCAGGGTGCCGGCACCGCAGGCAGAGGATTAGCCTAGTGAGGCATGGCACTGGCCTAGGGGTTGTATTTTTTTAAGTTCCTGAAGGCTGTGCATCTTAGGCTGAGAGCTGAACACAAGGCAGACACGTGGTGCCAAAGACGCCTGCCTGCCTCCCCCGCCACGCATGCTCCCAGGGACAAACAAAAATAGACACACCTGCAGGATTCCTCACAGGAGCTGGGTGATTTGCCAAGAGTTCTTACCATGATAACTTCTTTTGAGCTCACAGTAGCCCTGTGAGAGAGGTACCATTCTCCACCATGAGAAATCCTGACTAGGTAATACACACACACACACACACACACACACACATCCAGCCGGAAGTGGCTCCTTCACCCTGTAGGCTGCTGAACCATTTGGGAATCCGACAGTAACTCCAGTCTCGGAGATAACGTGCCACACACGTCCGAAGGCTGGCCCCCGGTTTCAGGGGGTTGGGAGCCCTCCCTGAGTTGCAGGTTAAAGGTGGAGCCCATGCAGGTCTGTTGCTATGGACACAGGTGAGTGATGTGGGCCACTCTGTGTCCACAGGGAAGCGCATTTGTCTGGGCGAAGGCATCGCGCGGACCGAGCTGTTCCTCTTCTTCACCACCATCCTGCAGAACTTCTCCATCGCCAGCCCCGTGCCTCCCGAGGACATCGACCTCACTCCCCGGGAGAGTGGCGTGGGCAACGTGCCCCCGAGCTACCAGATCCGCTTCCTGGCCCGCTGAAGGGGTCACGGGGACCCCCGGTCGTCAGGTGTCCCCGCCTCTGTAGAGAATGGCCCCAGACTCCTCCCGCATCTTCCTGCCTCTCAGACCTGGGGCCAGCCAGGACCCTCTCCTTGGTCTCCACGGTGTGAGGAGTCCTCTTTGTGGTCCCATCTCCTTCCAATGGGCTGCGGCTTTTCCAAAGACTCAGGAAACTGTTCTCTTCCTCTCCTCCCTGCGTGCGGCACCGGCCCCAGCTGCTAGGTCAAGGATTATACCCAGTTTGCAGTTGAGGGACAGAGGCCAGGCAAGGTGCCAGCAGTCTGAGATCACTGTGCCCCTGAGTGGAGGAGAGAGAGCCACGATGTCGCCACAGCCCACTCTTTGCAGTCACGTAGTTAGGTTAAGATGCAGCCCACACAGCACGCACGAAGCCGTCAATTTAAAGGGATGGTTTTGTGATTTTCTCTCCTCCACAAGGTCCTCACAACCAAGGATCTAGTAGCAAACCGTGCCATTGCCCCAGGGGAAACCCCAAACCTACCAAGCTGTTGATGTCCCAAATAAACGGGGGTCACACCTCTGAGGTCGGCTGTGCCAGGTTCCTTGCACCTCACATGGCATCTTGAGGCCCAGGGATGCCCCCCCCAACTCTTGGTGACCTCAGCTATATCTTCCATTTGTGGAAGGCCCTGGGCTCCCTGAGATGGTCCCTGAGACTCAAGCAGACACACACACAGCCTGCCCTCCTCGGGCCGGGGGTGACCCCTGCTGTTTTGCGTGTGACCTGTTTACCGTCAGGTCCCTGGGGAAGGCCTTCTGGTGAGACCCTGTCCCCTCCATCAGCGCCCACTCTGCTGTGCTGTTCATGGACCCACTTCCCACAGCTGGGGCAGTGTGTGGCATGTGACAGCTGTGCAGAAGGACTGCTCAGGGATGCATGGATGCATGAATGGATGGATGCATGAATGGATGGATGCATGGCCAAATGAGCCACCTCCTAGACCACCACAAGATGGAAACCAGGCCTCCTCCATCAGACTGTGGTACCATCTCCATATCTCGCTTTCTTCTGATACCAGAATAAATTCCTGACCCTAAAGGACCCGTGACAGCCCTAGTCTTACCTCTCATGCTGCAATGCCACCTGTGACAAAACTGGCCGAGCGCCCTCCTTGGGGCGGAGCCACATCCACACAGCCTGCACACATTCTACCCTCTCCAATGGGACAAGCTAGGCAGTCCAGGGCCCTGCCTGTGACAACACCGCCACACCAGCGGGTGGCCAATACCAAGCAGGCAATACCCCTGGACCAGAGGGAAGATCCTTTCTCCAGGCTGTGCCCAGGGTGAGCCAGGAAGAGTGGACTCTGCCCCCTCCCCCTGGGCACTGGTAGCGACGGCCAGGACAAGGGGGACAGCAGAGATTTTCCAACCAGGAACCTGCAAAAACCCAGAGGCAGGGACACAGCTGGGAGTAGAGACAGACAGAAAGAGAAGGCAGAGAGGCAGAGATGCTGAAAACCAGAGAGAAGTGGAGACCAGAAGAGGCACCGACAGGATGGATGCAGAGGGCGGCAGAGGGGAGAGAATAAGACAGGGAAGACAGCGAAGAGACCCAGCAACACCAAGAAAGACATACACTCTGGGCTGGCGCTGAGGCATTGTGGGCTAAGACTCCGCCTGCAGCGTCAGCATCCCATATGGGTGACGGTTCAAGTCCTGGCTGTTCCACTTCTGATCCAGCTCTCTGCTATGGCCTGTGAAAGCAGTAGAAGTTGGCCAAGTCCTTGGGCATTTGCACCTCTGTGGAAGACCAGGAAGAAGCTCCTGGCTCAGCTCCGGCCATTGTAGCCCTGTGAGAGTGAACCAGCGGATGGAAGATCGATCTCTCTCTCTCTTTCTCTCTCTACCTCTCTCTGTAACTCTCCCTTTCAAATAAGTAAATACATCTTTTAAAACAAGAGAGAGATGGCCGGTGCCATGGCTCACTAGGCTAATCCTCCGCCTGTGGCGCCGGCACCCCAGGTTCTAGTCCCGGTCAGGCCACCGGATTCTGTCCCGGTTGCTCCTCTCCCAGTCCAGCTCTCTGCTGTGGCCTTGGAAGGCAGTGTAGGATGGCCCAAGTGCTTGGGCCCTGCACCCGCATGGGAGACCAGGAGGAAGCACCTGGCTCCTGGCTTCAGATCGGCACAGCCTGCCACCCATAGCAGCATTTTGGGTGGTGAACCAACGGAAGGAAGACCTTTCTCTCTCTCTCTCTCTCTCTCTCTCTCTCTCTCTCTAACTCTGCCTATCAAAAATAAATAAATAAATAACACACCGAGAGATACACTAAAACACAGAGCAAGGTGGACATCAAGCCTGGTGGTTAAGATACCTGCATCCCGCACCAGAGTCCCTTGGTCCAACACTCAGCTCCTGCTGTGCTCCAGTGCCCTGCTGATGCAGACTGGAGCTGGCGGTGATGGCTCACGTGGTCGGGTCCTGCCAGCCAATGGGAGACCTGGGCTGTTCTTGGCCTCCAGCTTTGGTCCCTGGATGCTGCAGTTATCTGGAGAGTAAAGCAGTGCACAGGAGCTCTGTCCCTCAGATAAATAAATAAACCCAGGTCTGGCCCCACCCATCGCCGTCTCAGAATCTTCCTGAAGGCTCAGAAGTGGCTGCTGCGCCTTCGCCCATTGTAGGAACGGATAACCTGAGGCGCACAGCCGGCCCAAGCTAGGGGCAGTATTCAGCATGGGGAATGCCAGCGCTGGGGAAGCGGGGCGGCAGCGCCATCTGGCGGAAGAATGCCTGAACTGCTCCTTCTCCACGCGTATGCCGGGTTCCAGTCTCCAATGCCCACAATGGGCAGGGTCAGAGCCAGACATAAGCCAGGAGCCAGGAGTGCCCATGTGGTGGGGTGGGGGCCCATCCACAGGAAAAAGACAGAGGAGGCAGACAACGACAAAGGATATTGAAAAGATGGTGAAATTTAGAAAAGGAATGCGCACTGCGGATACCAAGGGATTCCACTTCTCTGGCTTAACAGGCACAGCACTCCCCACTTCCTAGAGGCAGACAGGACTTGGCTCTGCACGGTCGCGTGTGGGCGTGTCCCAATCCAGGGGCGGGGCGGGGGCGGGGCTTAGCCTAGCTACAGGTGCCTGTCAAGACACCTGCCTGCCACATCAGTGCACTGGGTAACAGTCCCAGCTCCAGCTCCTGACTGCGGTTTCCGGCCAACACAGACCTGGGAGGCAGTGCTGAGGGCTGGAGGGATGCGGTTCCACCGCCCACGAGGGAGAGCTGGGTGCACTCCTGCTCCTGCTGTGGGCATCTGGAGAAAGAGCCAGCCCAGGGGAGAGATGCACACTAGCTCCTTACCCCCTTTCAAACAAACAAGATAACTCGCAGACTCCTGTGTTGGCTGTCAAGGCGGCAGCTGTGAGTCTGGGCGCTCGGCCCCACAGGAAGAAGGGGCCGCTGCACACGGCCCAGCCCACCAGTCCTCTGCGTGCAGAAGACATCGTGACCCACAGAGAGCAGCCTCCTGGCCTCAGCCCTGAAGCGGGCTCCAGGACAAATGCGGCTTCCTGCGGCTCCGGCTGCTCCAGCCTGACCAGGGGTGGGCACTCTGCTTTCACGTTGTGAGATGATGACACCGCTGTCCAGTGAGCTCCGCTCGGCGCCCCACTGCTCCACTTCCCATCCAGCTCCCTGCTACTGCGCCTGGGAAAGCAGCAGAGGGCGGCCCCAGTGCTTGGTCACGTGGGAGACTCGGATGCAGCTCAAGGCCCCTGGCTTCAGCCTGGCCCAGCCCCAGCTGTTGCAGCCATTTGCGGAGGGAACCAGCAGATGGGAGATCTTTGTCTCTCCGTGTCTCTCTGGAATTCTGCCTTTCAAATGAAGAATCTGAAATGGATGTACCACATTCAGACAGATGTGGACACATAGATGATACACACAAATACAGCGTAGCTATATGGCAGAGATGACACAATGTATACTACAGACACAAAGTTCTACACCATACATGCTACACAGTGACTCATACACACAAGACAGACACAGTGATATAGAAATAGAGACAACAGAGAGAGAAGGCAGATAGATAATTATGCTGATGTCTAAGAAGCAAGATTGTCAGCGCTAAAGATGCCCCGAGGTGGTTTGTATACAACAAGCAAGAGATGTACTTGATTCTGACTTCATCCACTTTCAGAATAATGAGTTGGTTCCTTGGCATCCCTCAGAGTCACCTGTACAGTTTTATTTATTTATTTATTTATTTATTTTATTGCTTGAAAGGCAGCACACAGAGAGGCCCAGAGAGATCTTCCATCCATTGGTTCACTCCCCAAATGCCTGGGCCAGGCTGAAGCTGGGAACTCCATCCTGGTCTCCCACATGAGTGTCAGGGCCCAGGCACTTGAGCCATCGCCTGCAGCCTCCCAGGGTGTGTGTGCACCAGTGGGAAGCTGGGTGGGAGGTGGAGTAGCCAAGACTCGAACCAGGTGCCCCACTGTGGGATGGGAGCTTCCCAAGCAGCGACTCTGAGCCTCGCACCAGGGCATTGATTCCCCGAAACTCTTGATCGTGGGAGAGGTCTTGGCTTCGTCAGAATGCAGGACACAGGCAGCTGTGGCCTTGGGAAAACCAGTATGGAGGGGAAAGCAGGTGCAACGAGGACCCTGTGAACTCTGTCCTCGCTGCACTAAGGTCAACAGTCAGTGTTGACTTGGCCTGGACTGCAGCTAAACTGATCCTAAGAACTGTGAGGGGAAGAGACTGAGGGAGCCAGGAGCTGTCAGCCAGGGCAGCCCAGCGCCTGGCTCCTGGGGGATTCCAGAGACCCGGGTCCCTGAATCACCTGTGTCCAGGTGACACGGGCTGAGAAACGGCCCCCAGAGACCTCCTATCCTGATCCCAACCCCTCCGCTGCGCTCCCGTGCCTGCTGAGAGACACTGCAGAGCCCAGCGATCAGCCTGGCGGGGGCACACAGGGGAGCATGGCCGTGTGCCTTAGTGGGAACCTCGGCTCGGCTCCCAGCTGCTGCACCGGACTCCAGCTTCCTGCCAACCTGAGCTCCGGGAGCCAGCGCTGATGGCCCAGGGACTGGGTTCCTGCCACCCACGTGGGAGACCTGGATTCGGTGCCCAGCTCACGATTTCAGTCCCAGCCCAGCCCCAGCCATGGTGGGCATTCGGCGAGTGCAGCAACAGACAACAGTATCTCTCTCTCTCTCTCTCTCTCTCTCTCTCTTGCTCTTAAATAAATACAGTTTCAGAAAAAGCAAAGAGGGAGACATTGAGAAGGTGTGACAGGAAGAGCCATGGGGTGCAAGGTTGTCCTTGATTATCCTGAGCTATAAGAGGGATGCCGGAGCAAGGCGGTCAGGAGGCAGAGGAATGGATGGCGGGGGTAGCAGGCAGGAACCACCCCCCAATCCCCACCCCACCCCCAGCCTCCAGAAGGAACCAGCCCTGGGGACACCTTGGTTTCAGCCACTCAGGATTCGACTCAGGCTCCAGGCTCCGCACCTGTCGGAGAATAAGCGAGTGTTGCTTTAAGTCACTAAGGGTGGGGTCATTTGTCACAGC